TTTGTAATCCGCATTAAAAATGTACTTTATTAAATATAATTAGTACACATTTGCACAATAAATGGCGCTGTCTCGTGTCCGCATATCTTTGTCACACGCAATTGGAATTAAAACCATGTAATAGTGTTGTTTAAACCTCAGTTGTTTCGGCGCGCTATCAAATCATACAAGTACAATCGGGCACTCGGGGCACTCGGGCGGATTCGCGAAAACGCTTAAAAATGAAGAGAGAAGGGCGAGTGAAGACGAAACGATGTGCGAAAGAGTTGAGTTGAGTGCACGAGTTTTACGCGCATTTATAAATTTAAAAAGTGAAAAACCAAACCAATCTTTGAGGGCCCCCATCAGCCGGTACAGTAGCTCACCGAAATCAGCCACTCAGCCACTCCAGGTACGTGCCCAACATTTATGTATTTGTATGGTTCGGGCGGAAATTATCATTTAACCAAAAAATATATCTTATGGTCCTTCAGTCTACTAATTACAAAAAAAATTAACTTAAAATACAAACAAGTGTCAACCACCTAATGCAAACTAATTCAATTTTTATTTATTTAATTTATTTTATTTATTTTATTTATTTTATTTATTTTATTTATTTTATTTATTTTATTTATTTTATTTATTTTATTTATTTTATTTATTTTTTATTTATTTATTTTATTTATTTTATTTATTTTATTTATTTTATTTATTTTATTTATTTTATTTATTTTATTTATTTTATTTATTTTATTTATTTTATTTACTTTAATTTTAAGTGGGCGGGTTTCAGGCAGGACTGCTCTACCAACCCAACCCTCTATACATTTACAAATATCTGTGCCCGAACCCGGATTCGAACCAGGGACCCTTAAAACCGCCGTCGAGCTCCCACATCACACATGCCACATACGGTACATTTTTGCGTAGAGTTGGTCCATTCGCTAAATAAACCTTTAACTAAAATCGTGAAATTGTTTATAGTGCTGTTGTGCCTTTCAGTACCAATATTGAATTAAAAAATAACGAGAACCGCTTCACTAGTACCTACTTACTTGAATATTGGTGATTTTCACACAGAAACTAGTCAGTTCATACTCCTTTTCGCCACCACGTTCCAAATCTGGCAAGAATGGACGATTCTGAATCTTCATTAAAATGTTTTTAACCTTATGGCGTACTCTGTAGAACGCCAGTCCTTTAGAGAGAGCTGCAAGTAATCGTATGTTAGCTTCCTTTTTAAAATAGTGTCACAAATAACGGGCGATCAAAAATAAGTGGCGGTCGAGTCGCCTTTGGAAGGTCAAGTTAATTACGATTTTTACCATGTAAACAAAACTCGACAGCAACTCATTTTTGATCGCATCGTATGTAAAAATAAGTAAACCAAAACCACTACTATCTTTGAAGTTGATACGTTTATTTTGACATTTTTTTTGGCAAAAATATGGTAATGACCAAAAATATACCTGGGTTACTTCTGGCGCATCGAGTCCAAGAAAATTGGTGCATAAGTAACGATTTTGACATTTTTTGGGTAAAAATATTTTGCTGTCATTAAATACACATGCATCACTTACATGGAGCAATAGGGATTATTCCCAAGAAAATTGTTGCATAGGAAACGATTTTGATATAGTGTGAATAAACACATTTTGGTCGCCAAAATACACACTTCTTCGGAACCGAACAGCCGAGCTTGGCCTTTTCCCAAGAAAAATCCAAAAATAACGATTTCGACTTATTTTGACTGGAAATATTTTGGGCACCGTGATGGATGCCAAAGTTAATTTTTGATACGTGGTGTAGAGACTGGGCTATTGGGCTATAGAGCGGAACGACGGACAGGCGTTCACGTTTTGACTCGTGTTCACCTTTGGTTCGATTGCGTTTCGGTTTGGGATCGATTGACGTGGCAGTATTCTACAATCTTGATCAGGGATTGATGGAAAACGCAAACCTAAAGGTGCGGGCATGACCAAACGAGAACGCAAACCCAAAGATGAAGGTTCAGTAAACATAAATAACAATAAAATGAGGTCATTGACCATTGTTGACCTTGAAATTGAATTATGACACGCACAAAATGGGATCATTGACCTTTGTGTGCGAGAGATCTTTCCGCTTTACCTTCAGCTTTACCTAGATTATTTTCAAAATCAGACTCTTTCCAAGGTCACTACAATGTGGTAGGTGGTCTTTTAAATTCACCTGGACCTACTTTACTATGTCACCGCCAGGTGGCGAGCGACCTTGAACCAGCTACGCCCCTGTTACTCGTCTCTGTAACAAATTGGTGTATTTGGAACCTAGTAAGCTGTATAAACGAAATCAAGTTAACTATGTTTGAAATTTTGAAAATTGACGGAGTGATTTCTTTTCACACAAAAAAGACCCACTGCCTTTTAATTTTTATGATAACTGCGATATTCAACTTTTTCGTTGAACATCTACTTTTTGAAAACATGACGAATGGCGGCTAAATGAAGCAATTTAGGTATTATGTGTAATACTAACATAGTCACACTAAAATTGACCAAAAAATCGAAACATGGGATAATACATAGAATATATAGTAAAATGCAGCAAATGATTTGAGGAAAATAAATAAATAAATACATAAATAAAAAATAAAAAAATAAATAAATAAATAAATAAGTAAATAAATAAATAAATAAATATGGCCTATCCTGTATTTTGAGTAAATTATGTTAAACATAATATACATAACGAAGAATAGACGTTAGATTTTTTAATTGAAATAGTGTGCAGGTCTATACCTTAGATTACAATGAGTGCAGACAAAGTGCAAGTAACAAATTTCAAACGGCTACCTACAAAAAAAAATTCCAACGGGGTAGATGACAATTGAAGCTACATCGTGGAAATCGTATTTGGATACGTCTATGAAACCAACGATCACGTACGATAAATTGAAGACGATTAGCATAAACCAGGAATAAAATTCATAGGCGCAACTCTCCCTCTTGATCGAAATTCCAAAAACTCTCAAATACCTCACCTCCCTTGCGAAATAGAGTAGGGGATATTGCATCGTCTTAACATCTTCCATAACGACAAACTCCACAGTTCAACAGTTGGAAAGTGTCGCTTTTTATTAACTTCAGAGGCCTGCGTGCAAGGCTGACATGGTGCTATAGATTTTATCGCCGACCAATACGATTATATTAAATTAAAATAAACGTAACACCTGCAGCAGGTTATTATTATAAGTAATTGATTGTTGGATGAGGGGTTATCGTTATTCTAAATAGGGGTTTCCAACTTTTCATTTAAAACTTTTTTAGAGAAAGAGTTCAAGTAATTATAGTCCTAAGTTAAGGTAAAGTGTCAAAAAGAATTTTTCATGTACAAGGTGGTTTAAATTGGACACTTTCTTATGGCAACACCCTTTATTTATTATTTGCAATACTTCATTTTATATATTAAAATATTTTGACTGCAGGCATATAGGTTCTCATGGCGATCAAAAGATGACAGCACATTACGTAACCATGTATACTGCTCACAACCACTTACTTATGCTTTTGAACAACGGAGCGAACAGATACCACCAGTTCAACTTAACCAGCTCTTTTTCATAGCGCAATTCACAAGAGACATTTAGCACATTGACGGTCTCGTAGCATATGCATTATCTCGCATCACCGCCGTTGGTCCAGCCCCCGTGGATCTTCTCGCTCTGGCCGAAGCCTTTGAATATAAAATTTCTATTTTTTTAGTTATTTCCGACATTTTAAAGAAATTGGGAGGGGGACACTTCGTGGCCCGTAGGCAAATGAGTACAACTTTTGTTTGAAAAGTTATTTTAAAAATTACGAATTTCGTGGAATTAATTCTCTTCATTTTCGTTGTCCGACCCAGAATTAAAGTGAAATTTTTTTTCGAATTCTCAAAAACTAATTTCATATTCTTGATTTTCATGTTATGCGGTGCAGGAAACTACAGGACCTACTTCGGTGCTGTTTGTCAGAAAACTCCGGTTGTCGTGCGATTTGCATTTGCGGTTTGGTACAAGACCAGGCCAAGAAGAAACTGTGGGCACGAGTACGTGGAACAACTGCGCCAGAGAGAGAGACGCAACAGGTTTAAAAGGGGGGCAGTGTAACGAGCATTCCAGAAATCTTGATTGAAACCGAGGCACTATGAAAGATTAGTCATCGGTGATAAAATAAAGTTTTTTGTCCTGATGTACGAATCGTTCGTGATGTATTTGCAGCATATTTGAATTTGTTACAAAATTAACTTTCCTTGTCTGTTGTGTCTTCGCGAGTTGCTGAAGTAAAGAATTCTGTTTTTTATCTTATCTTGTGTCGCCAGTGTAGAGAAGAGGTTCTTCGTTAGCGATGGTACTAGCCATACCTCACTTACATTGATATGCTCCCTCTTGCCATTGACATTCGACTTCATAAAGACCGTACCTTTCCCTTTGCCAGGAACTGTCGGGGTATCTGCTGTTTTAACCTTGTGAATTGAATCAAATTCATGAAACCCTTAGAACACGTCACTGATGATGCCAATGTGCATGGTCGCTCCATTATCGACGTATCAATTTTTCTTGCCTTTTTTAGACCCACTAGAGTCAACGTAATATTCTGAAACTGATTCGATGATGAGTTCGATCCCGAACTGTTTGGTTTAGGTAGCCTCCCATTATTAATCCATTTTTTACAGTGTTGTGCTCTATGTCCCATCTTAGAGTAATTGTAGCATTTCTCTCCCTTCTTCTCTGGTTGTGGCATAAGTTCGTTTGGGACTAGAGCCTCTTGTCTAATTTCATCATCTTTATCTCCGAGTGCCCTCTCATATGCACTGGTTAGATTAGTTCTGTCTGGTTCTGTCGAAACTCCTTCCATCTTGAACCTGTTACGTACCTTACTGCAACAGTGAAATTGGAGAGTGTATGACAACAGTATACACATTTTTTATAATAAATTAATTTTAAGTCATAAAAAACCATAGTAACTAACTTTTACATTACATTTATTAAACCATCTTTAATGTAACAGCTTTAATAGCTTCTACACACATTTTTACTAGTGACTACATATTAACAACTACAATCATATTCTGTGCATTTATTTGAGGCTTCGCATCATCATAAAGGCCGAATACGCCGATTTTATTATCTAAAACCCTCGTTATGTTTCTCGTCGATTACGAATGTAGTAGTACTTACCCATGCCATAGTAGCTAGTTTTACAGTAGCCATATTTCCGGCGGTCAACGTGGCTTCCCTTTGGCTACGTTGGATTACGAGCACTAAGCCTTTTTGGAACCTAACATCCGTTCCTACGAAGTGCGAGTGGTACACCGCCGAACTCACCTGTACACCCTCGTGCAAAACGTACTCGGCCCAAAAGCACGTAAGTAACAGTTGCAAGAGTAACGTTACACACTGCGCAAGACTGAAGATGATGTCCAATGTGTTGTCCACCTAAAAATGAAATATTGGTTAATCCGCACAAACCAAAATCGTCGTCTGCTTGCCGCGGTTGCGTTGTATATCTCAAAGCACATGACTATCATAAGTGTTGAGAATTGGACGAGGTACATCAAACTGAACATCTCCTCCATGTCGTTCATTAATCTTAAAACGGCAGCGTGGTACTTCGCCGCTTTCTGCAGCGACGAGCGCAAATACTTCCACCTAATCAGAGGAGTGACGGTCTCGTAACCTTTACTGAAAGTCTCGAAGTTCAATGAGAGCGAATCGTGGATGTCGCTCTAAAAGGAAGGATGATCACTATCGTGTTCACGTTCATTTTTGAATATTGAAGATCAAAAATAAAAATAATCGGATTAGTTCAACATATCATGAGCTGTTATCAGAAAATACCGCAAAGTAACCAGAGTATGTGCAATATCGATTTTTTCAGAAATAGTGGTGTAAAGTCATTTGAATTATTGATTCATTTTAAGTATTAATTACAGTTTTTCGTATACGTTTATCCTCCCGTATCAGACGTTACATATTACTACCTTGAAATATTTTGTAAATCGCGATTCATTACTCCTCCTTTTGTTTGTTTGTGTGAAAGGGGAGAAAGAAAGAATCAGGACAAGGGGAACTACGCTAGAGAAGGAAATGGGATGAATTAGTAAACGAGGTGATGATTTACTTTGAACTCAAATACATAAAAGGTTTTTTCTACTCCTATGTCGTAAACATACCCAAAATGTCACCCTGTACTGCACGTCTAAATCGTTCATTATATCATACGGTTGCATAATGAAAATTAGAACTGTTACTTAATATATATATATTACGTAACAGGTTAAAGGTCAAACGCGAAATGTTAATTTAGTAGGTTGTCAGCCCTGCCTAATGAATGAAGTAACGTCAGATATTGTTGTTGTAGGTTATGTTTCACATTTTGTAAACTTCTTTGAACAGAATTACTCATAATTTGTTTAAACATTGCCATTTGTATGAGAATGGAGAATGGAGCCTGTACGTAATTTATTAGCCGTGCCCAATTATTTTTCATAATCGTAATGGGCTACTCAAGAATGGTTTGAAGCTGCGTTCAGTTAATTAAGCAAACTCTGTTGCTACTATTTTGTATTTTAGAAAACTACAATAAGTACTCGAAGAATTAATGGATGGTGCCAATTACGACTTGCATGGAACACGGAATAATGCACTTTAGAATACTGGGTAGTCCGATGCTTCCTTCCCGGGAAAACTCGTTAAAAGACGCAGCGTTTTGAAGGCCTTAGTATTATCGATAGTTAGGTACCTAATACATTGGCAACTACAACAATAGAAATCGTTCAAAACTGTAATGAAAAAGAGCACAAACACCACCTGAGCTAGTTAGGTAGTAATCTTCAACTTCAACACTTGTATCTTGTATCCTATTGGCTATTGCATCTATGGTGCTAAAATGAAACTCACATTGCAGTAAGGAATAGGGATGTCAAAACCCTGCAATACACTTCCAATCTAAGTAAAAAGTATTTATAAAATTCTTGCTCGCTGCGTGCATTCATGGAATATAAGTGAGGTTACGTTGTATTTTGTATTCCTTTGAAATAGACCATGACATTTGACACTTGACAGTTCTAATTTTTAGTTCGAAGTTCGAATATTTAGAACCAAATCAATCGTAATCTATCAATCTTTTATCAATTATATTCAAGTCGTAGAAAAAGTATAGTACATAATTCGAGTGCTAATGCCTATTACGCACTCGATTTTATTACAACACTCGCTCGCTGCGCTCGCTCGTGTCGCAAAATACTCGTGCGAAATAGGCTTCTTAGCACACTTATTATGCAATATACTATATCGTTTAACTGTACTGTTCAGAACAGTACCTATATTAAGATACAAGTGTATAATCAAGTCTTTAAAGCACGCGCAACGAGTTTAAGGGCACGACGCAAAGCGGAGTGCCTTTAACGTTGCAAGTGCTTTAAAGACCAATTATACACGTGTATCTTATAGTATTTTTTATTATACCTGCAGTATAATTTAAAAATAGGAAATACAATGAAGTCATATTGACGTTATACTCGAATACATGTCTTCGATTAAGTGGGCTGGGTGTTCGTAATTTCACGATTGCCATGGAAATGTCACTTGACGTTTGCTTATAAAAATCATCGTCTTTGTGAATTAAACGATTTCCGTTGAAAAAGATAATACACCGTCCATTAAATCGATTGTTGTAAAATCTAAACAAACGTTGGTAGGTGTAAAATCCAACTCCAGTAAAGCCTATTATAAAGAATATGAAAAGTTGTTTCCATGGATGAATAGGAAGTTACTTACGAATACAGTCTTAAATGCATCCATAATGCTGGCATATATGAAGGAAATGTCAAAGGTATTTAAATCTTCTATATTTTGGTGCATTCATTCAAAACTTCAAAGCAATGCTGCGATTAAAAAGTGGAACAGATTTGGAAGCATACCCTAAATTACGCGCGTTTGTGAAAGCTTCAACCAAAGGATAGGTACAAAAGCCAAAGAAATGTTCTGCATTTACAGAAAGCGACCTAAGAGGATTTTTTTATTTCATCCAGATGACAGTTTTAAAAGTCATACTTGAAGTATCGTTACTTAGCAACTTTAAAGCACGTGTGTTTTAAAGGCCCTTTTTCGCACGCATTTGAGTGTTTAAAACGGAGATTGTGATTCAGGTATAATAAAATAGTTATTTGTGTACCAAGGCCGTAAAAGTGATCTTTTTTGGCCGAAGCTGCTGTTTGCGGCCGAGGCGGTAGCCGAGGCCGCAATTCAGATGAGGCCTAACAAATCACTTTTGGCCAAGGTGCACACAACATTTTTTAGGCGATCATCAAAAAAGAATTCAAAAATTTGCTCATAAACATATTTTTTCTGAAAATCATAGTTATCTTAGACAATTAAAAACAAAGCATTTCCTGTCATATGTAATTATAATTAGCATCTTTGCGTGTGTTTTGTGCGTATCAAAATGGGTGATAGCGACAGTTCAGATACCCCAAATGAAATTTTGGAAGCTGCAAGCGTTGCGACCCTAAGTCATATACGTATGATATAAGAGGAGGCGTTTGAGAGTAAAAGTACAATCGCAACTTCCTCCGTTGCACAAGATTTTAATAATGTCAAATGCAATAGGTCCTTCGTAACTGTGGCTTCCAAGACCTTATAGTTAACATGCTGTACAATTATTAGAAACCTGATTACCTACTTTGATGGTAGGTACCTATAGGTAGCTACTTGTGTTCTCGGTTAATTGCTGGTGATTTCTTCGTATAATAATGTAAGCAATAACATCTTCCTCATGTTTTGGTTCTACACTTCAAAAAGGTCTGCAAGCAGCAAAGATTGAAACGTCAAACTATCATTTTAAATGTGAACATTGTGATTATGCAAAATAGTGTGAAACATTCCTACAAGTCCGAAAATGAAAAAAAACACACGTGGATGGCCCTATCCTTGATGGGGCTAGACCAGATAGACGCTTTGTATCAAACAGATTACTGTTTCTCACACATCAGTTTCAAATAAGTACAGTTTGACAGATGTGTACAATAAAGTAAAGTTTGACAGAAGCGTACAATAAAGTGAAACTGTATGGCCGCAAAAGCGACCACAAAATCAACGTTTTTGTGATGATAGCCTAAAAAATGCATTTTTGGAACACAGACACAATGCCTTACATTCGTACATAATCTCTTACCTTACACATCTCTCGGTATGCGTTATAAACTACTCGCTGGAAGTTGTTTTGCACCATCTTAAATTGAAAGGCAATGTGTACGAGAAGTCCTGTTGCAATTAAGTCAACGGATATGTAGTAGACGCTAACGTAAAACACCACGATCGTTTGGTACAAACTGATTATTTCGTAGTTTGGGCTGTAGCTTATGTTCAGCACGTTTAGTGATCCAAATGCTAGCGCTCCGTGGTAATTGTGATTCCGAATGTTAGTAACGATCATAAGTGCAATTCCAGTGAAGACGCAGAAATAAGCGAATCCAACGTACGCAACCGCCTGAAAGTGACAACTGTTATTTTGTAATCTGCAAATGTAATTTGTTAACTATTAATTAATACTAGTTGTCATCAATTAGGATCCTACACATTTGCAGAATAAATTGCGCTGTTCCGTGTTCGCATGCCTTTGTCACACAGAATTGGCGCCTGTCCTAACTAAATTATTGGAATTAAAACAGTGTATTTTAATTGTTATTTATTTTATTTATTGTATTTATTTTATTTATTTTATTTATTTTATTTATTTTATTTATTTTATTTATTTTATTTATTTTATTTATTTTATTTATTTTATTTATTTTATTTATTTTATTATTTTATTTATTTTATTTATTTTATTTTTTTATTTAATTTATTTATTTTATTTATTTTATTTATTTTATTTATTTTATTTATTTTATTTATTTTATTTATTTTATTTATTTTATTTATTTTATTTATTTTATTTATTTTTGGACATTTACAAATATTCATGCCCGAACCCGTATTCGAACCAGGGACCCTTAGTACCGCACTCGAGCGTCCACACCACTGCGCCACACCGGCCGGCATTTACACGGTACTTTTTTGCGTGGAGTTGGTCCATTTGCTCAAAGGTAAGTAAACATCGCTAACATTTTTACTTATAGTGCCGTGTGACAAATGACAATCTTATACGAACTAACAATAAAATGCAATATTTTTCTTTCCAAATGGTTTTCATTTACTTTCCATATGATTATTATTTTAAATTACCTAAAAAAAGCACTAAAATTACAAAATAATTTTTGGATTGGAAAAAAACGAATTAATCAATTATGGCTGTGCTTTTCATTACCAATATTGAATTAAAAAAATTCACAGATTTCGCAATCCTTGCAACCATCGGAGACATTGGAAATGATAACCGTATAACCTATAAAGTCATAAATAACCCTTCACACGGAATAATCTTGCTACACTCGCTCGCAAGCTCGCTCGTGTCGCAAACGTAAACTTCCTTAATAATAAGCGGCGTAACATGCTTGTAATACTATCACGGGCGATGTGCGAGAATTTTCAATTCGAATTAACAAAACCCCTGCGCACTGTTAAGTAAGTACCGTATCGACAGTATATTTGTTAAGATGGGAAAATGAAATTTTGTATGTAAGCACCTCGAATAGAAATAAAACTAATGCCGAATCAAGAAAATTATTTTACAAGCTATGCTGATCTAGTCGGATTTTTAGGAAGATATTTCAATAAATCCAGATATTCCATAAGTAAAAATATTAAAGAGAGTATAACCGGTGCACTTGGAAACCTCTATACTTTGAAGGTGTGCCAGACGACCTTCATAACTTTCCTCCGCATGAATTATTTTTCCAATTCCCAGATGCTGTTTACAGAGCCGTCTTTTCTTTAACCAATTGGGGCACTGGGCGCAAAAATGTATGGGGCGCCCCTTTGTTTGGAAGATACGGAATTAAGAAAAACGATCTCAATAAAATCAATAAATATGGATATCGACAAAAAAGTATATAACGTTCCTCTCGGTCTTTGTATACTTAATCCGATTATATTTTTAGCGCATTTTCCAAGGAAGGCTACTGCCAGCCACTTTCTCTGTCCGTCCGTCTGTCCGTCCGAGGCCTAGTCTATTCCCACAGTTTTCAAGATATTTAGTTCGTTCTTTTTGCATTCGGTAGCGTATAGCTCTGTCATCTCAACCAAGAAAAATCTTGATGAGTAATGTGCGCATGCGCAGACTGCGAAATATCAACTTTCTTATTTATTAATATATTCTGTTGAAATTTTAACCACAGATACTTCTAGTAAAGGCAAACATATCGCATATAGTAAAAATCAGATGTGCACATGCGCGGACTGCGCAGTGAACTTATTACTTAACTTATTTATGGAGATATTTGTTTGAAATTTTAATCAAATATGCTTTTAGTGACAGCAAACGTATCGCATATTGTGAACATCAGATTAATATAAGCATGTGCAATATCAACTGACTTATTTATCAAAATATTTTTTTGAAATTTTTATCGCAGGTGCTTCTGTTTAAAGCAAACATATCTCATATTGTAAACATTAGATGTGCGCATGCGCCGTTTATACGCACTCTGCGCAGTGTCAACTTTCTTATTAATGGAGATATGTCTTTGAATAACCACAAGTACCTCTAGTAAAGATAAACATAGCACACATAGCTATGGCTTTTGGAAAGTACTGATCAATGCCTGGAAAATGCGTTGAAATTACTCGCCCTACTTTTTTATTTGTTATATTAATGGGCAGTATCTTAAGCACACTTGCGTCTATGTAATGTCTCACAAAATGAAGCACCGTTTATGGGGCTGTACGGTGTATCTTGAAAGAAATTGTAGGAACTAGTTTGTTGTTTTTAAAGGAATACACTTTGTATTTACAAATATGAACAAAGAAAACCTACTATTACTAATTTATTTTAGTTACATTTGCAATTTGTTTGCCACATGGCCGGGATTTTCCGGGATTGTCCCGGAATTAGCTGCAATGACCCGGATCCCGGTTTTTCATACCTACCGGAAAAAATATCGCAACGTCTGGAATAAAAATTCAAAATTTACACTTGCCCAAACCCAATAATAATAATAGTAATAGCCACAAACCTGGATCGCGGGATCGTGGCGTTTAATAAGCTGGTTTTGTTCCAAAAAAAACCTGGTTTTGTTAAATTTGAATGATACATTCTGGTTTTTTTATTAAAATATTTTTACTGTTGCCGTTATTGTGTGCGTTAAAAAAATATAGTGGAATTACATTTTAAAAAATTAAATATAGAGGTAATATCAATTAAAAAAACTAGCAACAAAAAACAACAATTTTTTGTCAAAATTAGAAAGTTACCAAGGAGGTATCTATCCAATACATTTTTGAACATGGTATATTTTTACCCGGTCATAATTTTGGTTTACTATAGGATGGTATCCCGAAATTCAACGCGATCAATGTGGCAACCCTATATGACACTCGATCTAATTAAAATTATCGACGAAGGAACTCTTTCTTCTCCAAACCGACTTTCTTCCTCGCGAATTATCAAAATGGAGAGTTGGGGGAAGGAGGGGCTAGTCCTTCATGGTACATGGCAGAAATATATCTATTGCTGAGGTCAAAACGTTAAGAACGAATATTTGGCAATAATTTATTGACCATAGGTGTTAGTTTCGTGAAGTAATTAGTTCTCAAAGAGACATGCAATTTTCACGGGTGCGTTTTAGGAGAAAAAATAGTTCGTTAGTGCTCGTTTGAGCACAATTAAATTGTTGGACCAAAACGACGGAGACCGAAATGAGCGCCGGGACCGAATCGGTCTGACACGAAACAGCTTCATGTCCATTTGGTTGATTGAGTTTAAAAAAAATTGTCATTGTTAGGTATTCCTTTTTCAGCAACACTCATCGTATGAATTAACCGCACATCTCTATAATCATAACAAGTATGTATTATACTGTGGTATAATTATTCGTCATAGATCATAGATAAAACCACCTTTTATTTATGATTCCCCTTTGAATGTATTAATCGCAACCCAATAAAATTTTATGATGAAGAAAAGGAAATAAACTAAATCAATATAGACAACGAGCGACAAGGTCTCTTCCGGTTTACCAGTATTGACCAAAAATTAATCACTTAGTCGCTTGACTACTGTCTACCTATTACCACAGATTTAAACACTAATTTGTGCTATTACTGAAAACAGAACTGGAAAATTCGAAGTCGTTCAGGAGTTATCATGTAGGTACACAGACGGACTGACAGACTGACAAAAATCATGAATTCGCTTAGGAGCTCTTTTAATAATGAAGAACTCTCTATATATATTATTGCCATAAACGTGCTATACAGTATATTAAAATGAGTGGAAATGGAGTTTATATTCTAATCTATAAAAATAAATGTTAGGTAAATGATAACTGTAGCATGCACCTGGCGTGGTATTACAGTAAACCAGTGTAATATAGATATTACCCTGTTGAAGTTAAACACATTTCATATGGCTAACTGTACTGGGTTCAGCGACATCTACTGAAGGGAAGATTCAATTACACTTGGTAGCACCGAATGTTGTATTATGGGCGCACACCAATTTACAAATATTCCGACTCGTGAGACATCTAGCAATCACAAATATGAACTAACCAAAATTCAAACGCGTTGTTTTACTATTGTGTTGTGTTATATTATGATAGTATAGTATCATTGAATTTATAACTATCAGAAGCGCAGATCCCATATAACAGTTTGTGACCATGTGCCAACTGGCCGCCGCTAGGAGCAGTTCGATCGTTTGAAAGTCCGTGGGCGATCGAAAGTGGAGCGTTACATTGACATTAGATGGCAGCATTACAAACCATTTATTTTGACCATTCGAATATTTTCCTTTTTAATCGTCAGATGTCAGGAACTCCGGATGTTTTTTGTGTTATCATTGGAATGGTTTTATAAATAGGATTGGAATGTTCTAAAAATAGATCCCTTAAGAAGCATTGCGTAAATTTGTAATGTAAATAATAATACATTTAGACGAACGAAGCTTGCAGTCCTTGTCCTTGAAGGAATGCAATTTCATACATTCTATTCACAGGCAGTAAAATAGGCAGGTTCCACATTTTTACTGAAAGCGGGAGATTTTGTTATTAAAAAACGATCAAAAAAAATTTTAAGGCAAAATATTGTCCGTTGCAAGCAGGCAGCTACATCATTTCCACATTCACATTTGATAACTAAATTTCGCGAATCAGCTTTTTTTATAACCATGCAGCATTGTGCACAAATAAATCGGTCCCAGTTTACGTGAATTCGTATACCTACTAGAGCTGAGCGATAAATGAAATTGTTATCGATTTATCGATAAGTCTGTTCAGTCTGATAATTATCGATTAATCATTAATTGATAACTATCGATAATTATCGATAACTTTAATCACTTATCGTTAACTTTCGATAATAATCGACAATTATCGATAAATCGTAAGGCTAATTTTCGATAATGATCGATAACGTTTGATAATTATCGATAACTTTTTATAATTATCGATAACTTTTGAAAATAATTAATAATGATTGTTAGCTGCTGATAATAATCGATTATTATTGCCACGAAAATTGTCTATCTCTGATATTTATCGATTAATAAATAAGTAGCGGAAATTATCAAGAGAAAACTATCGATACTTTTTCATAAATCTCATCGATATATATTCTCAATCGATATATTACATCATCCATGCGTACACTCGCTAACATTTTTGTTTTTTTTGGTATTGATATTGCGAGAGATAATTTAAATAAAACAGGATCTTTTGATGCTCAAGTTGTCTGAAATCAAAGGTGATCAAGTGGACGATAATCCTAAAAAATGAGTACAGCAGTAGGTTGTGAATTGTGATCATATGGCAACTCAACAATGCTCTTACATCGCTTTTGTTGGAAGTAAACTGGTATACCTAAACATTGAAAAGTTTATGTCGTTAAAAATTCTCTCGATAATTATCTATCTTAATAGTTTATAGTTGTGAGATTAATCGATAGATTATCGGTAATTATAGGTTTATCGACCAATCCTTTAACATTTTCGATAAATTACACTGGTCTACAGCATTTTTGCGCATGGGACATATATACCTTATTTTTATTGCTTCTATAGCCACAAATAAGAATTAGAACAAAAAATGGTTATGTATTTGTTTTTGTGTGAAAAAAATGCAAAAAACCAAAAAATAAAAATACCTATAGAATCCTACTTACATAGGCATGATTTATTAAATGGTAACGTTTCTACATTTATAATTTGTTTATCTTAGAGTCTAAATGTTTAAAAATGGAACAGTTTTGCTGTTTTTGTCATGTTCAACTGAATCTGATCTTCCATCATGCTTCCAACTTCCTGGCCTTGGGAAGGTGCCTAAGTTCCATTGTCTCGAGAAAGTGTTGTCCTTATTCCGAATAAGCTCCCATATTATCCTTAAATTGATCTAAATGAGAATGTAACCTGTGCATCTTTATTCTTTAGAGACATTCTATACCCCATGATACAAAACCAAATCCTGTCAGCTCGTCATAATTTTCAGCTCTATGGTTTCCCAGGAAACACTGAACGGGAAACCATGGACTATTGCCTTAAAACTGTTCCAGGATTTTTTTTCCTCTTTGCTAAGTAACCGCGGAAAAATATCACCCTCCATTTTTCTTTTTTTTTAAGGGAAAACAAAGATTCCAGCTTTAATTTTCGCCCCTGAAAGCTTTCAATCAAATCGCTGTAACTTTTGTAAAAGCAAATATTTTCGATGTCTTAATCGCACTTTTTATTTATTTTTGCTTATTATAGTCAGAATATATATTGTGTAAATCCCATGCGCAAAAAATTCTTTTTTTGTTGACCGGTCGACCATTTTTTTTAAATTTATCGATTGACTATCTATTAATCGATAATTATCGATAAGTTATCGATTAACCATTGAGAACAAATTTCAAACGTCAGAATTTAAAAGAAAAGAGGTTAACGACCTTTTTATTTTGTATCAAAATTGCCAGGTGTGACGTGTGATCCTAGATCAGGGGTCGGCAACCTGCGGCTCTTTTGATACCTATAAAGTTGCGGCTCTCCGTATTTATCTAAAGAAATTAGTTCATTTGTTCGAAATTCGCCTTTTTAATTAATCTTATTTTGTATCAAAAGTATACTTGCAGCAAATAATTATCTAATTTTTGACACTTGTTTACTTTCTGGTATTCTTTTGTTTTTTTTATTATAGCCAGCCTACTCCGATGTATAAACACGTAATTAATTAATGAGTAGGTACTTTTGTGAAAAATATTGAATAACCTAAACACTGCGGAGTTTAAGCACAGGGCACCCCTTATAAACATTTAAGAGAAGACAAAAGCGAATAGCGAAATAAAATAGTGGTAGTTCCATTTGAAAAAGAATAGTTATAGCACTTTGAACAAACGGCATTGAAACAACCAAATATTCAGGATGTTCTATTTAAAAAGATCAGTTATTAATTGACATCGTAAAAATGGAACACCCTGTACATTTAAAAATAATTTCTGTAGATCCGCAACCACCAATATTTTTACCAGGTATCTATCAGCTATGTAGGAAAAACCGTCGGACTGTTGCAGGACCCTGTATATAGCCAAAAACTATAATATTGAATCAAAAATTATTTGTGGCTCTTTAAGAACTGGGAAATTTTGTAAATTGTAATTTTTGGCTCTTCCGTTTCAATAGGTTGCCGACCCCTGTCTTAGGTAGTTTAACCGGTGGCAACGGTTTAACCGACACACACAAAAATTAAGAATAGATAGGTAGTAAGGTAGGTACATTTAATTTCTGTTACAGTGATCAAGGATGCCTGCGTATTTTTTGCTTTCCTGTTCAAATGTAATTCAATCTTCCTTAAGGAATGTTAAGTAAGGTCACGATTCATGAAAGGAAGAATGTTTATCTTACGTCATTCAACATCCTGTGTGCCACATAAATGCCTTATAAGTACGTTTCTTGGGTATCTAGAATTCTGTATACAACAATTACAAATCGAGATAGTGGGTTCATTACAGATTCCTGTATAATAATTAACAAAGGTAAAAAACTGACATTATTATTCATCTTTCTCAATGGTAGAGACATCTACGTCTTGTAATTTAAACTATTGAAAACAGTCACATATCCTGCCATTTAACCTGTGCTTCTGATAGTTATAAATTCAATGCTAATACTTACTTGAATATTGGTGATTTTCACACAGAAACTAGTCAGTTCGTACTCCTTTTCGCCACCACGTTCCAAATCTGGCAAGAATGGGCGATGCTGAATCTTCATTAAAATGTTTTTTACCTTATGGCGAACTCTGTAGAACCCCAGTCCTTTAGAGAGAGCTGCAAGTAATCGTGTGTTAGATTCATTTTGAAATTCGTCTCACAAATATCGGGCGATAAAAAATGAGTGGCGGTCGAGTCGCCTTTGAAAGTGAAGTGCGGTTTCCTATGTAAACAAAAATTCCAAAAGTGACTCGACCGTAACTCATTTTTGATCGTATAGTATGTAAAATGACTAAACCAACAGCACTACTACTTGGGTATTGCCAGCGTAAACCCACTCACCTAGGCAGACGAACAGACTACTTTTGAAGTCGGTACGTTTATTTTAACCCTTTTTTTTTGGTGAAGTGACCAAAAATATACATGGATTACTTCTTGTGCATTGATCAATAGAGCTTGGCTTTTTTTCCAAGCAAATTGATGCATAAGTAACGACTTTGACATCTTTTGGGTAAAAATATTTTGCTCTCATTTCATACACATGGATCACTTCTTGAACACCGAGCAATAAGGATTAATCCCAAGAAAATTGATGCATATTAAAACATGCAGCTTTGATATAAATCATCCTGTATAACAATTGCAATTTCGTTGAAAATATTTTTAGATTGTAGGGTAAAAAACATTATTCAGGTTACTCTGTAATTGAGCGCAAGCCTGTTGAGGGCCTCGAACAAGAGAAATAATAAATCAATAAATAGTAAGTAAATAAATAAATAAATAAATAAGTAAATAAATAAATAAATAAATAAATAAATAAATAAATAAATAAATAAATAAATAAATAAATAATTAAATAAATAAATAAATATATAAATAAAGAAATAAATACAGCCCATCCTGTACTTTGAATAAATTACGTTAAAGGTAACGACAACAATGAAATTAGGTCGCCAAACAAATAACGAAGAATAGACGTTAGATTTTTGATTTGCAATAGTGTGCAAGTCTGATACTTAGCTTACAATTAGTGCAGACAGAGTGCAAGTCACAAATTTCGAACGGCTACCTACCAAAAAAAACTCCAACGGGGTAGATGGCAATTGAAACTGCATCGTGGAAATCGTACTTGAACAGCTCTATGAAACCAAAAATCACGTATGACAAATTGAAAACCATCAGCATAAACCGGGAATAAAATTCGTAGGCGTAACTCTCCCTCTCGATCGAAATTCCAAAAACTCTTAAATACCTCACCTCCTTTGCGAAATAGAGTAGCGGATATTGCATCGTCTTAACATTTTCCATGACGACAAACTCCACAGTCCAACTGTTGGAAAAGGTCGCTAGGTCTGCGTCATCTGCGTGTAAGTATAACATGGCGCTATAGATTTTATCGCCAACCAATACGATTATATTAAATTAAAATAGAAGTAATATCTTCAGAAGGTTATTATTATATGTAATTGAATCTTAGATGATGGGTTATCGTTATTCTAAATTAGGGTTTCCAACTTTTCATTTAAAACTTTCTAGAGAAAAACTTCAAGTAATTATAGTCCTAAGTTAAAGTAAAATGTCTGGAAAAATTTTCCATGTACAGGGTGATCAAAATTGGACATCTCATGGAAACACCCTTTACTTTAAGAGATAGAAAAAACGGCCTAGGTGTCTAGATTTAAAGAGAATGTCACTGGAATAAACAGAATTCGGTTTTCCCTAATAGTTTGGTCGCTAAAGGGTGTTTCTCGAATTTAGTCCATAACTTTCATATTGATAAAAATAACTTTTTTATGTAGAATCCATGGCGGTACACAGTTTTTATACGGAGTGTTTGGTTTTTCTTATACGACCCTAAATTTCATTTTTCCATATGGACTACCCTATATATTTCGGAGTTTATGAAAGAGCGTAGAATGTCCCAATTTTTGATGTCACTTGTTACACTTATATTAAGTATTATTTGCAATATTGCATTTTATACATAAAAATACTTTTACTGCAGACATCTAGGTTTCCATGGCCGTCAAAAGATGGCAGGATTGTTTAAAATGACATTTCTTAGTTATTTGGAAATTTTTATTAATTCCAAATATTTATAATTTCAAATAAGATACAAAAACTACAAAAGTTAAAACTGATGCCGATAAAACAAATAAGTCATGTAGGTAATATATAAACAATAATGCAGATAACCAACCAGTTCAGTAGCTTTTTTACTTGGTAGACCGGATATTAACGTACGTACGTGACTAGACATTATTTTCTATAAATTTTTTTACGTTAATCCCCCAATTCATTTCACCGAAAAAGAGTCCGACCGGCCCTCTAGCAACATGGAGTAGGTTTCTGCAGCAGTATGACTTCGAGGTCAAGTACTGAAAAGGTGATCCTCTCCAGGCCGACCTAGAGAATCCCGAATTTAAAAAATTCAATCCCGTCAATTAAGTAAATTCAATTAACAGTAACTAAATACATCTGTTGCAGTAAATACCATCCGATTAAGTCGCGAGGGGTCTCAAAAGAAGCGCTCTTAACCAATTACAGGTTTTTAGGGCACCCGCGGGCCGCACAGATAATTAAAGAAATTTTAATTTTTGGATGTAGATTACCGAATACGCTGTGTCGGCTGAAAAAGTCTTTCCCTCCATGGTATAGCCGAATTTTATAAAAGATAAAGCCGTTTTTTAGAGGGGATCTTTTTGCTTTTGGCGTTTAATCGAATAGTAAGTTTGTCTTTTTGCCTTTTGCATCTTCACAAGTTACGTTTCGTAAGTACCGTAATTTTGAGCCTACTGAGTTTATTATCAAAAGTTGAAGGTTTTTGAGGAGCTAAAATGAAATAAGATTTTTTAATATGACGTTTTGTAACTTTGCACCTACAAAAAAACACCCTGTAACTTGTAAGCTAATTTTTTAATGTTTCATAGTAGATGTATTTATTTGACTTTTACTTTACCCAGGATAAAAGATATAGGGCTTGCAATCAAAATGTACCTAAGTCATGACAATAACCTAACGCTTGCCAAATTTTTCTTAGAATTCGAATTATCTTAAAAACTATACTAGTTTTCCGAATATTAACCATATAATAATAAAAAGTCGTACAATTATTCCGTGCAATCATCGACCATCCTGTACAATAAATTATACTTGCCGAAAGATAATTCACAATAATGTTATATTTTTGATAGTACTTATGTGCTCATATTTTGAACTACGTGTCAGTTGCATAACCTAACTAACTGGATATGTAGATAGTTCTGTAATTAGGTACCTACTCGGGGAAAAGTAAACCGTTTACGACTTCTAGTGTTTAGCTTCTAAGCGTTTATAACTGGAAGATCCATTAAATTTTATGGAATAGTATTTTCTACAGCTCATGAATTTACCCGGCCTCAGAATTGCCCCCCTCTAGGCTACGTTTGATATAGTTATAACATATATTAACATAAATAACATGAAAATATCTACAACGTATAGTCCTTAAAAATATATTCCTATTAGCGATACCTTACCTGGCAGTTTTATGGACCATAGTTTTTCACTTTATCTCATTTTCTTATCGCCCGACATCCACTAAAACGTCACACTTATATTAAAAAATATTTTATTTATTTATACAACGTTAAAAAATATCTACGCCTTCCAAAACATGCTGAAAAATCTTATTTATCTCGCATAGCATATGTATAACAAATTAGACATATCGTCGTATAAACGCTTCAGATATATTAAATATGTATTGATATCATTAAAAAAAATACTATAAACAAGTTTATTTAATAGCTGTTAGAGTTTTATTTCCGAAGAAATTGATTACATAGAACGTAATCATCTACCATTTACCAAACTACTTTTTTTTTCTACACAAAAATTCTTACGCACACGTGTGCAATGTTAGCACCAATAACATGTTTTTCAATTAATCAGTTTAATAATTAATTTTTTTACGAGCGCAATCAAATAAAATAAACTAAACTTGAGTTATCAATCTAAACTTAATTTATTGCTCCGCAGGGTGCACGGTAATCGTATCGCCTTTGATTTTTACTAACCTGTAAACAGTTTCAGCTATGTTATTAAACGTGTTCATAATGTGAAGAATATTATGCGTTTCGCAATACAATTAGGGGACAGCAGTAAAAAAACAAACATATCGTTTAACGTCATCTAGTGGTAGTTGTCCATTGAGCAAAAGATGTGATTCATCTTTTTTTGAATTTTTATTTATTTTACATTACTGTATTTACCCCAAAAAATTGTCATGTTTTTTTAAATACTTTTTAAATTTTTTTAAAACCTTTTTTATTCAGTATTTCATTTTTGAATTTTTTTCAAATTTGCTGCAGTTCTTCTTGAACCTTCTTGACAATAACTCTTGGAATTTTTCTAGACATCGGTTGTGAAATCTCGATATCACTTGGAGGTCTTGGGATCATCTTGAGAGTTTTTTTTGGAATTTTTTAATCTTCTTGAAATTTTCTATTATGAACGTTCTCAATTCTATGAAGCGTCGTGAAATCTTGAGATTTAGACCACCCTGCAGTCTTCTAGGCTGTTTTTCTATGTTTTCAACTGTTGTATATTACTAGGTGTTGCTATGCGCCCGTAATACGCAAAAAATTCCAATCAGAAACATTTGTGGCAACACTGTTAAATTCGCACATGCGCCACCTAGGTACAATATATACGAACAGCACATGCTTTTCGTGCTGGTTTTCCAATCGGACACGGTAAGCGTACCTAGGTACGAATATTATCGTCTATTAGGGCTTATGTATACAGAGTGGCCATTTGAAAACGAAAAAGAGCCTATTTTGGGAAACTCAAACATTTAACAAAAAACATCTCGGACCCGTCAATTTTTGATTCTAGGGGGAACCATTTGTTTGCTAGATTCGGCCCCCTAAGGGCAAAGCCTTAGCGGGGGTGACAACCGCCCCCAAAATTTTAAATCGAATGGGGGGGGGGTCGAGTGATATAACCCTTAAGTTTTAAATCGCTACTAATTTGCCTAGCCGATACAGGGGCTAATAAAAGTTACAAAAACGTGTCAACATTTTCTTATGAAAAAAATGCTTGTAAATGAATTAGTTACTAATTAATATTAATAATTATTACAACAATAAATACAAAAAATGTTGTTCTTCTACATTCTGAACCGCACTTTTTGTTATTTTCTTTCTTTTTAATACCTGTAGGTGGCTATGGCAATTCTGCAACGGAAATCTTGGTTAATGTTGAGACTGAGAGCGTTACTATAGCAACATTTTGAAGTTTAATAGTGCTTGTCAGTTTGTTGTTGTCAAATCATAGTAGTGACAAATAACACTTTAAAGTTATTTAGTTGCAAAATCGGTACATTGAACAGTGATAATGGTTTATTCACTTGCTGAAAGAGTTGAAATAGTTTCTCTTTTTTTGCGAACAATGAAAATGCTAATAGAACCGCCCAGTTCTTTAATCTACACCACCAGAATCGACAGGTCCATCGGAAGTACATCTTGGAATTGGTTCAAAAATTTAGGGAAACTGGATCTGTGGCTAATAAAAAACGTGAAATGGATAATCGAATAGTAGGTAAATGAAACTTCAGAAGTGGCCATTATAGGCCATATTGTGCAAGATCCCACACTGAGCACAAGGAAATTGTCAACCGTGTCTGGTATTAATAGAAGCAGCATTCAGAAGATATTAAAAAAACACAAGTTTCATCCGTACAAAATACATCTCATACAAGAACTAAACGAAGACGATTTTGATAGGCGAGTACAGTTTTGTGAAACTATAACTGAACAAGCCACAAATGATCAACACTTTCTGTTTAATGTATGTTTTTCTGACGAGTGCTCCTTTTTCCTAAACGGTACTGTGAATCGTCACAACTGTCGCTATTGGGCTGATTCAAATCGCAGAATATTTCATGAGGTGCATACACAACGTCCCGAAAAATTGAATGTTTGGGCTGGCATTTTTGGTAACCATATCGTAGGACCCTTCTTTTTATCTGGAGAGATGTACTTGGAGTTATTAGAAAATACGATTCATCCAGCATTAGTGGAGATACTAGAAATTCACAACGAGTACTTGGAAAATCGTCTAGTATTTCAGCAAGATGGTGCGCCACCCCACTATGCTGCAAGGGTTCGTCAATATTTGGACCAAACGTTTCCAGGACAATGAATTGGAAGAAGAGGAGCTATTGAATGGCCTCCTCGTTCCCCGGACTTAAGTCCGTTAGATTTTTTTTTATGGGGACATTTAAAAAGTAACATTTATGCTAGGGAGGCAACATCGCTAGAGAACTTGCGACAAAGAATAATAATTGATGCAAAATGTACGGGAACAAAACCTGTATTATTGTATGGAAGTCGAAGGCCAACATTTACTTGATTGATTTTAGCTTTAAGAACTTAAAATAAAACTGATTTAAATCTTAAGAGTTATAATCTACATAAAAATACCTTCAAAATAAGGTATCACTCGACTTCCCATTCGATTTGAAATTTTGGGGGCACTTGTCACCCCCGCTAAGGCTTTGTTCCCAGGGGGGCAAAACTAGCAAAAAAAATGATTCCTCCTTGGATCAAAAATTGACGGGTCCGAGGATTTTTTCGTAAATGTTTTGAGGTCCCCAAAGTAGGCTCTGTTTCGGTTTCAAATGGCCACCCTATATATCCTATTAAGATGTTAGCCGTCGTCTTCGTCGTTCGTGTAATCGTTGATGCTACCACGCGGGCGGCCCGGGTTCGATTCCTGGTCGATGCAGATTTTTTAAATTTTATATATTTTATTTTATTTTATTTTATTTTGCCTTTGATTTAAGTGGGCGGGGTTTCAACCGAGGCTGCTCTACCAACCCAACCCACTATACATTTACAAATATCCATGCCCGAACCCGGATTCGAACCAGGGACCCTGTACCGCAGTCGAGCTTCCACTGAACTGCGCTACACGGGCCGACATTTTTCATTTTCATTTCTACATTTCGCCCGACTAATGCGATCGGTGACGTAGCATGTTACACACCTACTCGCTACCTATCAAAAGAAAACAACAACGCAACAATATGTCCTACCAAGACAGAAGAACCCCAAAACGTATTGCAGGAACCCCAGACCACACCCACCAGATGCAGTAACAAGTATCGCAGCAACGCGATAACGCTACCCGTATTTTGTCCCAAAAGAGCAGAGCTGTGGTTTCCGATGATAGAGGCGAAGTTCGAATTACCGCATCCAAATATCACACGAGAAGACAAAATTCAATTATGCGCTCACTGTTCTTCCTCCGGAAGTGGCATATATGAAGTGAGCGGCGTCATAATTCAACCCGATCCAGGAAACCCTATTCTCAATGAAATGCAGAAATAATCTCACGAACTTCAAAAAGAAGTTGCCCGGAAACCATCCCAGCTGCTACGCCACCTGCGACAATCCGTTCAGAACCCCTCACCGGACACCGACCACAAAAATAGAGAAGCTACTATACTCAGTTTTCCTAATTCGTAAGGTAGATACAGGAGTAGTATATATATAAAGAACAACTTAAGACCTTCTGCAGGAGCACTTCTAAAAAGCATTATGCGGGTCACCCTGTAACTGGGCGAAAGCCTGTTGAGGGCCCTGAACAAGAGAGGGGCAATAAATAAAATAAAATAAATACTCAGTGCACAGCATAGTGGCAGAAACAATTACAGAGAGAGGAACAGAAGCCGTTCCAAAAGTCGAAACCGCGACGTCAGTGGACCACGAAGATGTTGGTACCCTCACAAGTTTGGAAAAGTAGCTAAGAAATGTGTATCTCCTGCTTGCCGTAACTGGTCGTCTGTACGTAACGGATACATTTTCAAAGGTTAAATCCTTAATAGACACAGCTTTGGTAGTATGCCCTATATTATTACCAAAGGGTGTATTTCTTTCATGTATCCGGATCTCTCTTTGTCAATACCCTCCTCCGACAATCCGCTCTTGAGATATGAGGAATTATATCCGATTACGATAAGGACCCGAGGAGAAGGACTATGGTTCGTTGAGACCTTTCACTAGAGTACCATGAAGGATAAAGCCAGTTCTGCCCCCAACCCCTATTTTTATAAGGAGTAAGAAATAAGGACGGTGGTTGGTAGAAAACAGTTCCCTTTGTTGAGAATACCATGAAAGTTAAAACCAACTGTTATCCCCCCCTTCCCCTCCCCAACCCCTCCATCCACGCGTAGGAAAGTAATAATTTGTAGGAAGCAATTCATTTCGATGAGACCTTTCATTAGAATACCAAGAAAGGCAGAACGTGTGTTAACCCCCCTCCCCCCTCGCTCCTCACATTTTCACTTTTACTTGGCACCACTAAAGGCACAATCTGAGATCAATTGGTTGTCGTATGTAAAATTTGCACGTTTTACTTCTAGGATTCTAGGACCATTCCCCTAAAACTAGTTCAAAACCACAAAAGTGGGTCCGGACGGACGGACGAACAAAACGCAAGCAATAGCACTCTTTTTTATTCTTAAAAAAATGCGCTAAAAATATCCAGGTGTGGTTCGGGTAACATCGGAACATAGCAAAACAGCAAAACATAACGTCGTACACCACATCGGAACAAATGCACCACTGCAAACCACGAAGGTTAGGTTGGCCCCAAATAAGCTACGAAAGGAGTTTGCAACAATGCTAGCGGGGGGTATAATCCAGCGTAACTTCATCAGCATGGGCTAGCCGCTAGTTCACTCCACAT